GGACAACACCAACTTCCCATTGGTCATCAAAAGCTTTATTGGGGGTCAGGTGGAGAGCTGCTGCTTTTTCAGCCAATTCTCCTGGGGAGCAAAACACAGACTCAGTATCCAACACTGTGTCTGCCACCCAACTAAGGGTATCTTCGTCCCGTAGATTCTGGCTAACTGGCTGCTCATCATCGGGGTCAAGGCGTAGGATTTTCTTCTTCGTGTCAGATTGCAATTTTTGTTTTTTCTTCTCATGAGCACCGCGTCTTGCCATTATCTCTCTGATCTGAGGGGACACAAAATTTGATTCAGAAGAGGAAGAAGAATCAGTGGAAGAAGACAAGTCAGAAGAAATAGGCGTATAGTTATCAAAATCCCTTTTCTTAAAAGGATACCCGGCAGGATAGACAACATTTAACGGTAAAGGACTAGGGCTCTTTTGACCTAAAGATTCATGCGCGATAGAACAAGGAGAATCGCGCGACGAGTTTGAAGAGGACGATTTAGGGCTCTTTGATTCAACTGATTTGTAGCTATTTGCAGTGCTCGAAGAAGAATCACTCGATAGCACAATGGGCTTTGACATGTTCAAAGAAACTTGGGGAAACACAGACGAGCTATGTTCTGGCAATGTCTTTACGCGATTAGGATGTCGCGAAGATGACCCTAACTCAAACGTACGAATCGAGGGGACATGCCTAGCATAAGCTTTGGAGCAAGGGGCTAAAATTCCTACAGTAGGCCTCTTGTCACTGGTTCGCAAAGACCTTGATCTTGGCAACAATCCCGAAGGAGGACTGGACGAGCCAGACTGTTCACAAAGTCTGATAAAATCCGCACATTTGCAATTATCAGACATGCTTCACACAGAAAGAAGGAAAAATACTGAACCAGATGAAAAAAACACAGAAAAGATCAGATGGAAGGAGGAACAACATACCTGAGCTTTATACTTCGGAACTTCACACTACAAACAGGGCGTGTCACCACCGAAAATGCAGAAGAAAGCACTGAGAGATGAGAGATTTTTCACAAAATCACCGAAATAATTTTTCCCTCCAAGACTCAGTACAAATATGAAAGGTTTCTCACCAACGGATAGACCGAAAGCCACAAGACGTGTTAAACAAAACGGGTTCCAAGGGACACGTGGCAGGTAGGGGAAGCGTTTTACTTACAAAAACCACCCACGCCTGTACTTAAACTCCCACGTAATCACAACAGCATTTAATGCTCTTGATTGATTAGACGTTTAATCCACCATTTTTTAAGCGGTAGAAAGTCATGATGACACTATCAGGCACAACTACCGCAGCACACAGAAAAAGGACATATGAATAATATGCTATCGCGCCTTGAGCAAAAACATATAGCTCACGGCCTTGCCAAATGACAACACCGCAAGCTAGGGGGCAACTGATCCGGATAAAGTATAGGCCCAATCAAAGCCCCATAAGGAAAGCCCAAGCCCTTCCGAAGCACAAGGAACAAGCATTGACGCGATGCCCACATCACGGCGTTCCAGACGCGATATCCCCATCGCGACATACAGGACGCGATGGTCTCATCGCGGCACACAAGACTCGATCCTCATATCGCGCATGAAACCTTCTAAGAGAGGTAAACGTAAGGCTCAAGGTAACTCCACCGCGCCTTAGCTCCAGTAAAAAACGAACAGCTCCAGCTTGCCTCAAATCTACTACTAGACCCTCTGGAAGATAAGGCTACATAGGTCCCCTAAATAACTTGCAGTCCAAGGCTGGCCACTCATAAGCCAAGTCGCCTTAACTAAGGCAGCATCCCAGTTACTATATAAACAGACGATATACCACCAAGGTACGATCATCCTTTACTGCAGCAAGATAGCACACCTGCCTCTGATACTAACTTAAGCATCATAGTGTCTTCGCAGGTATCCCCCCATTTGGTGCAATGTGCCAACGTGAAGGACAAAGCTCAAGACTAGTCCGACAACAATACTAGGCCCAGGCCAACAACGACGTAAGGTGATTCAACCGTGTGTGATTGGGCTCTATACACATAGGCCAGTCCATACTGTATCTGGTCCGATCAGGTTCAATATAGATAACTTATTTACATTACCTGCAGAAAGAATCGATAAAATAAGCATCACTTGAGAGGTTATTTGTAATTGATTCTATATTAAAATTGCAACTTCCTCTATTTTATATATAAAAACAATTATCCAATAGCACTTAATCTAGTCATAAAATACATGGCTGAGTTTGGTGACATCTTTGAGACGCTTATTTAATCATCAAATGTATACAATATGATAAAGTCAATGGCTATCAACTTCTTCTTTTTTTAATGGTTTAAATTGTTCCTAGTGAATATAAACAATATATGCAGAAGATCATACAGTATAATTAAGGAAGGAAGATGTTATCAAAGTCTTACCATTTTCGGTCTGAAATGGCACCTACTCACATAAACCATATGAAAAGGTCCTCACTACATTAATTCAAACCTTTTCTTTTCTTTTCTTTTTTTTAGTAGAGCTTCAAACCTTTTCTTAACTTAGCTGGGAAAAGAGAGGGGGGATCACTGAATTTGAAATGAAATATTTTATTAATTGATTTTTTTTTTTTTTTCACAAAACAAAGCTAGGTAAGTATAGGTAGTTCAAATCTAAAGTTACGATGCGTTATCGTCAACATCTTTCTATCTTATTAATTAAACCAAATCTCAATATGAATTAATAATTCAATCTTTAATTTGGAAAACTATAAAATAAGAATTGACTTGATTTCATTTTTTAACAAAATTATTATTATTTATATTAGTTGTATATAAATATAAACCGTTATGGACTCAAGTCCATTTACTACCAGGCCCTACAAGGGACAATTCAAATATAAAATTCAAATATAAATCTGATATAATTAAAGGAGGATATCTATCTAAGATATCATTCTAATACAACGACATTAAACATGGGCTTGGACCGCTAGAAGAGGCACAGAAGGTCTAGAATCTAATACCCACTAGTAAACTTTATAAATAGGATGTAAAGCCTACAAGTATAATTATTCTTTCTCTCTTACTGTTATGTTGTCACTGTGCACATATACCACCCTTTTGAGATTATAAATTAAATATAAAGACTATAATAACCCTAAAATAAACTAAAATTACAAAAATACCATGAGTTCCGCCCCAAAACGACATCGTATTGGGCTTACCGTAGATGACTTATCTGCAGTAACTGCAGAAAAAACGAACCCTATATATATATAAACACGTTCGATTTTTTTTTAAGTTACTTTAAAAATTTTTGTCCAATGTTCAATGAAACGACGTCATTTTAGGGCGAAAATATGGTGTTTTTGTATTTTTAATTTATTACAGGGTTATAATAGATATCATTCTAATTTTTTAATCTTTCAACAACAAAATTACTTCGTTTTGGTGAACATTAGACAAATTTTTGTAAAGTAACTTTAGAAACTTTATTGCGTATATATATAGGAAAAACTATTGTCATGTTACATGAGATTAGTTTTTTCTCCTACACACTCTTCGATAGCCGTGTAGCCTTTTTTTTTCAGGTGGTGGAACCCACATATTTTTTTCTATGACATAAGATAACTTATCTCTTTTAACATGAGATTAATAATATTCATATATATATATATATATATATATATATATATATATATATATATAGGGTAAATATTTATACAACCACTTTAGATAAGCTACAACTATCCAAAAAACTACGTTGTTTTGTTTAATGAAGGGTGTGTCTGTAATTTTAGGTGAATTAATGAAGGGTGTTTTCATAATTTTGTTTATTTTTTTTTATCATATACATTTTACTGAAACACCCTTCATTAATTCACCTAAAATTACATAAACACCCTTCAGTAATCAAAACGACGTAGTTTTTGAGGTAACTGTAGATAACCTTATCTAAAGTGGCTGTAGAAATATTTTTTCATATATATATATATATATATATATATATATATATATATATGATATTAATTCAAATCAAGCAACAAAATAATGTAATGGAACAACTTGTTAACATGAAACAATCTCTTACCAGCCATATTTGGTGGTAATTATATATATGATAGAATATTATATCTATTTTTTTTCATATTTGTGTTATATGTTTATTTTTAACACTATTAGATCAGAATCTTAATTAATTTTTATTCTTTCTCGACTTCTCTTAAAATTCTAATATAATAAGGTTAAAATAGAGTATTATTAAAAATATAGAAATAATATCATATTTAGTTAATCTACACAATTTGTAAGGTAATTCTATGTAGTGGGTAATACAACCATTTTAACGAGAAAATTTTTGGTGTAACAGATGTATAAAACTTATATTTATATTAAAAAGAAAAAAATTTGGAACTTAAAAAATTATATATAAAAATAGGATAAAATATTTCTCCAGTGAACGAAGATAAATTATTTTCGGTGAGTCCAAAATGACCTCGTTTTATTGAAGAAATCAAAATATTTTTGTAATTATAATTTATTACAGATTATATTAATCTTTATCATTATAAATTTTTAATCTTACAATCACAGAATGACATCATTTTATGGTTACTGAAAATAATTTTATCTCTGATAATTGAAAAAACACTTTTCTCATAAAAATATGGGAAAACATTATCTGCTGTTGTAGAAAAACTGATTTTCATTCCTACAGATAGATAGAAACTTGTGCCATTTTTGTTTGTTTGTTTTTTTGAAAAAAAAATGGTGGACCATGTATTTATGTTTCTGCAGAAAAATGACTTATTATCGGTGACATAAGAAAAGTAACGCCCTAAAAATATAGGTTAAAATGAAAAAGAAAAAAGAAAAAAGAAAAAGCGTACCGAGTTGGGTTCTCCCACAAGAAATTTCCATTTTAAAATGTCCAAAAAAAAAAAAAAAAAGAAATTTCCATTTTAACGAGTTGAAATTATTGACCAATCCGGAGAAGTCCACACAGTGAAATATTCAATTTTGTGTTGGTTGTACACTCCTCCCTCCCTTCGCCCCCCTTTGTGACTTTTTCTTAACGCGATTTTGCAAAGCGAGCGTCTGCGTTTTCTTATATTTGTCCCTCTCCTCTTCTCTTCTCTTCCTTCAACACTTTCCGTGGATTTCAATCAGGTACGTACATACATACCCTTCTCTTTCTACAATTCTATTCTCTCTCTCTCTCTCTCTCTCTCTCTCTCTTATTAATCTTCATCTAATGCTTGACTTTTGATGTGGGTTTCTGCTATCCTTTGTTGATCTCTTATTCTTTTTTCTGTTATGATTCTCCACCTGTTTTTTCCTTTGTTTTCTTAACTGCAAGTCTAATCACCCCATCTCATATGATATGAAATATGGTTTCTTTTGCTTTTAGCTTATGAGTGAGTTTGATATGATAACCCCTTAAAAAGAAATTCAATTTTGAGTAGAAGGGGAATTTGATCAGAACTTGAATTTGAGATTTGGGGTTTTTGCTTATTGTTCTATGTATGTCAATTGTGACTGAATATCTCTTGGTTGTCTTTCCAGGGTGAAAATTAATACACTAGATCATTGTTTCATCTATCTGTGAACCCAATTCTGAGAGAGAGAGAGAGAGAGAGAGAGAGAGGATGTTTGGTTCAAAGAAATCTCCTTTGAAAGTTGCTAAACCTGGCTCTGTTGAACCTGTCTATAACCCTTTTGATTCTGATGAAGAGAAAAAAGATAACAAAAAGTATAGTTCCTCAAGGAAGACTTCTCATGAACATGCACTAGTTTCGCAAGAGGCTAATAACACCAACCCCTTTGATGATGATGATGTTGTTGTTGATGCACGTGGGCACTCTTCATCATCTTCTTATGCCGCGGATCGAAACAGGTATAAGAATGATTTCCGCAACTCCGGGGGATTGGAGAATCAATCAGTGCAGGAATTGGAGAGCTATGCTGTTTACAAGGCTGAAGAGACTACAAAATCAGTAAACAGTTGTCTGAAGATAGCAGAGGAAATGAGAGAAGATGCTACCAAGACTTTAGTGATGCTGCATCAGCAGGGTGAGCAGATTACAAGGGGTCACGATGTTGCTGCTGGCATTGATCATGATTTAACTCGGGTATCGATCTTGTTATCCCATAGCTGATTAATGCAACTGTTTCTGGCCTCCCTTATGGGCACCTTCTTGGTGTTGTTTTACCTTTGTGGTAACAATGATGCTGATTTTGTTATGCAGCCCCATGGAAAGAGCTTTCGATTGGTATTTTGAACTACTTTTTGACTGTATTATTGCTGTGTTTACAGGGAGAAAAGCTCTTGGGAAGTCTTGGTGGAATGTTCTCCAAAACTTGGAAACCAAAGAAGACCGGCGCAATAAGAGGACCTGTTATTTTTGGAGGTTGATAACTTCTGTCTATATGCTCAGCTTTTGTAATTTTAATTATTTTGGGTTGTATGATAATCATACACATTATGTGCTTCATGATACATACAGATGATCCGGTCAGAAGCAAGGGAAGCCATTTGGAGCAGAGAGAGAAGCTAGGGTTGACTTCTGCCTCTAAAGGGCAGTCAAAGCCACGGACAACACGTCCTGAGCCAACAAATGCACTTGAAAAAGTTGAGGTTTGTATCCAACTTGATGAAGATTTAACTGTTGGATAAAGTCATCTGAACTGAAGTACTGAACGTGACAAATCTTCAGTTTCTTACTGCTTTAATATGTTATTAATCTCTGAATATGTGGTTTTCTACTATTGCTCTGGTCCTCATGACCCCATATAACTAGTTTAAACCAGTGGTTTTCTACTATTGCTCTGGTCCTCATGACCCCATATAACTAGTTTAAACCAGTGGTATTTATAATCATAGATAATTTTGCAACTTTACTCAACATTCTCCCAATAACCGACCTATACTCTGTAGTCATTGTTTGTCTGGCCTGGATATTGTTATTTTTCGTTTGTGATTTTCATCTTTGTCTTGTACAATGCTAAAGTTTTTGATAATATTGAATTCAGCTACTGAATAAAATGTCCTGAAACAGGTTGAAAAAGGGAAGCAAGATGATGCCCTATCAGATTTAAGTGATCTATTGGGAGAAATGAAACACATGGCCATTGACATGGGATCTGAAATTGATAGGCAAGTTGATTGATTGGGTTCTGTATTTCCTCTAAATTTTACCTTTTCTTGAACACTGATTTAAAATCTTTTGCAAGAGTGATAGTTTAACTAACTAACATCAATGTTGGCTCAGGCTGTATTAGTTGTATGATTATTCAGAACCATTTCACTTTTTTCAGGATATCATAATTTATAGTGATTTTGTTAATGTTGCAGGCATAACAAAGCCATGGACGGTTTTGACAATGACATTGAAAAGTTGAACATCCGCATGAATGGTGCTAATCAACGTACTCGTCGTTTAATTGGAAAATAGGGGTGCAGATCATGAGATTGATTCCAACTTATGCTATTTCCTTCGTTCCTTGCTCCCCTACTTTTCATTATTCAATTGAAGGAGCTTCAAACTTTCTACTAAACTCTTGTTTCAAATATTGTAATGTACAATCAATCTGCTTGTGAAAAAATTTGTTTCTGAAATATAGTATTGATTTGAGATTATTTTTTATTCAATTATCAATATCATAATTCATGCGCTCCTGTTTTCAGCATTATTAAGAATATAGTGATAGATTGAAATAACGTGAGTTTGCTTTTCTACGAACAACAACAAACTTAATACAACAACTAACCCTCGAATTGTTTTTAGAAAAATACAGTATTTAACCTTCAAATTATTGTTAGAAAAGATTTAGTACACGAAGTAAGTGTTTACCCTTTAGGCCTTTATCTAATCCATTTCTTATAACCGTTGGGCTTGTATTATTCTTCACTATGGCAAAATCCAACCGTTAACAACAAGGGCAGATTTTGGCTACGCCTACCATATATGCTAGTATCTTTTCAATATAAATTGTAAGAGGTACAAATTTACATGCGTGCAATTAAGATGGAACTAATTGATGGCAAGTTGGATGATGAAGAGTGAAACGAAATCAGTATTTTGGTACGGACTTAAAGTGAAACTAAAATAATATGAACCAACAAATTATTCACAAGTTGATGATATACATACAACAACTCATATGTTTCTTCAATATTAAAAATTATTGCAAATGTTGCAACTTTCCAATAAAGACAACAAACAGCTCAGTACTTACAATTACCATGAGCTTGCAATTCCACAGTCCTAGTGTGCCTAGTTTACAAGATTATATAAAAACCTTGTACTAAAGTTTTCGGTGTCTATCACAGGCTGGAGCATCAAAGTTTGGCAATACAATAAAAGCAATGGATAAAGGGGATATGTATATTGGAGATTTTATATTATTGCGAACTGGATCCATTGTTGGAATATCTCCTTCGTTTGTTAACTCCAGAGGAATACCATTCAGCACCATGGTTTGGCTTCTAAGGTAATAATCTTGTGGAGTTAAGTGGTACTCCTCCCTGAATGTGACCTCTGATCCTTTTGTTCCAACCCATGAAAATGTCTTCTTGAGTTTGTCAAAGAATGAACTTTCATTATGGATGCTTTTGGCCACTTCATTACTTTCAACACTTAAAGTCGCAGGGTTTTTAACATTGAGTATGAAACGAGTCTGATTACTTAAGTTGATCAGAAGTAATGTTATACCCTCCTGCAGAATGAACTTCATAAGAATTTGTGGAATGATGAAAGTAATATTGAGAGACGCAACAGATCCTTTAGATGCCTAGCATCTGATATTAAGTCACAAGTGTAAAGCTCAAGTCTTTGCTAATTTAACTTTAATAAAAAGAATTGCTAGCAAATTAAGAGTGAGTAGACATCTCTATTCAAAACTTTTCACACAACAATTACCAAACAAATTGTATATAATTTTAAGAACCATAAAAATACAGAAATAAAAAAAAAAAAAATTGGGGGGGGGGGGGGGGGGGAGTGGAATTAAATTAATTCTGATTAGATAGAATGTAGTATGCAAAAACTTATGTACTAAACAGGAAAGAAAATGATTTTAGTCAGTTTAGCAATTGAAATCCAATCATTTTTTTTTTTAGTAAACAGCTTAAGTTAGACAAAGCTATCTGGTTCATTGTTTGTTTGTGCTATGTGTATTTCACTAGGGGTGAATGATTTGCGTAGATGAAAGGGTCATAGGTACCTAAAATATTTAATAAAAATCAGGCACCTAAAATTTATATGGAAAAACCTAATGAATCAGGCATCAAATCAAAACTTCTAGCATGACCATACATGTTGAGGTTATATTGCATACGCAATCAATGGGTATTACTATCGCCTAGGTTGTTGGTTCTCCTAAGAACCAAACTAAAATTCAAATTGTCATATACTTTTGTGCATATAATTTACATATGACATATTATTGATTCTAATGGTCAAATTTATATATTTTGTTAGTATGTTAAGCTTCATATGAAGAGGACGAGCCTCAAGCAGTCCTTTATAACTAAAAGGTGACACGTCTGGGAAATAGCCTCGTTACAAATATATAAGGATAAGGCTGTATATAATGATTGTCCTCATCCATACCCTTGACCTTGATAATCGAGATTTAATGGAGAGTGATTTATGTTAAGCTTCATATGATGTCATATCAGCTTTAATTCTTCAATAATTTGAATGGTAATCAAACATTGTATATAGAAGAATGAACCCCAAACTCACGTCTCCCTATAATATATCTTTATATACGAGTTGAACTAAATTAGCACACTTACTCTGTCTTTTGAACAATGAGCATAAGTGCGTAAAAAGGGTGAAGAAATATCATTTGAAACTCCAAGTACCCTCCTTCCCATTAGCCGATGCCACAAAAGTGCACTATTCAGAAACAAGAGAAGAACCTAGGATTAGATATATTAAACAATTATATACTAATAACCACTACAAATCTTCAAGTAACCATCAAGAAAAAAAAGAAATATATATATTCTCTTTTCCTTTTTGCAATTTTCAATTTATACTTGCCTGTAATAGTCGGGATTAGGGGCGAAAGTGGTTGTATTGAGAAGGCCATAGTTCCCTCCAATTAAAGTCTGCCTGCAATAAACTTTAGTGCTGTGGCTGGATGCCATTCCAAGTTGATCTAAGTACCTATAACTCATTTAAATTTCCAAAACATAAAATTAATCACAAATAACTGTTTTGCTAAATAAAACATCATAATCCTTCCTTTAGCACTTAAAAGTAGGGACAAAAAAATATGGAAGGAATAGACAACTAAGATTACCAAAAGCTGTTCAGAAATGTGTTAGAAACATATCGACCACCACTGTTGTATGCCCCACCAGCTTCTCCTACCCATGCAGAAGACCAAGGACCATATTTTTGAATGGTTTCTGAAAGATTGCTGAAAATAGATTCTACCTTGCTTAAGTGCCCAGGATCTAGAATCATCTTTTCAAGATGGTCGTTACTACCTAAAAAAGATAAATTATCTTAGAAACTGAACAAAATATTATCATCTTTGATAAAAGACGAAGTTCACGTATTGAATTAAATATTGCAGTTGCCAGTGCATGTGTTGCAATGTAGGGAAAAAGTTATTATAAAGGGGCAACCTACATGAATCAGACATGTGGCAACAACACCAACTGTTGTGTGAAGTTCCCTTCAAAAATGTTAATATTTATGGGAAATTAAATTAAACAGAAATGCACGGTGTATTTGAGTATACGAAGGGGTAGTTTTGCATGGTGGAATGGCACAATTCAATGCTGGCATTCATATTGGTGTAAATATGTTGGTAGCTTTGAAGATAATCAAGAAGGTGGGGAGGGGAGCCTAAGAGTTTCTCAACATAAATTAGCAAAGCTAACCTTCAATATATATTAGCTCTCTGGATAATATGAATTTTGTCAAAAGAGGCCTTTCATAGTCTATGTTATCAAATTTTCCTGCATTTATTTGGTTTTTCAGAAAAGAAAGTATTTTCTTTCTAAAGAATATAATAATAGAGAAAAAAAAAAAAAATACTCTACCAATTAAAGATGTTCCTTATTCCCTGAACTGATGCCAGTTTATTACAACTTACAAGAAATTAAAATAGAAGATAAGGAAGGATTATGTAGATATTTTAGAATATTAAAATATTCAGCAAGAACGACTATAGTAGAAAGAATTACATAAGTGACAAGCAAACCTGCGCCCAAATTATATAAATGATGAGTCAGAACATTGATTATGCCTGAACCCGAAACCTGAAGAAGCTTGTCATACCACTCCTTTTCATAAAATCCCCCAGGTGCTACAAGTGAAGGTTTGAACTTGGAGTTCTCGTATAATGTATCTAGAATTTGTTTAAGGTTTATCAAATCTTTCCCATACTGTTCAACACCAACACTTGCACCAATGCCCCTACCACTCAACTCATTACCTACATCAGTATATGCAAGAATAAGGTCAAATTAAACAAAAAATAAATAAAAAAATAACAAATGACTCTTTTTGTTGTCCTACCAAGTTCCCATGAATCGATCTTGTATCCCTTTGAAATAGTGTATTTTATAAAATCATAAGCATTTGTAGCATCCCAGACTCCTCCCCAAACTTTATGACTAATCTGGTGCCTCCCATGGAGTGCATTCAAGCCAAATGTGACAATGGCCCTGCAAGTGTCAAACTCCAATTAAGTTACATCATAGTTATCATCCCTCCTCCACCCCTTTCTACTTTCCCTTGAACATAAATATGCTTATGCTAATGCATATATAGAGAGAGTATAATAAATCAAGCTCGCACTGACATTCAAATTCTCCGTGTTTGTATTTATTTACACAAAGTAAGGTTTCAAATTCTCCGTGTCTGTATTTATTTACACAAAGTAAGGTTTACAAGTATGTATAGGGTCAAGCCCGATATCTCAGATATTCACTGTAACAAAAACTATTACTAATATAAACCAATAATGCAAGATAGAAGACCATAACTGATGAGCTTCAATAACAAAAATAAATAAAGTACCACAAAAGTCTGTGATTATGAGGGAAAAGGGACTACATTGAAATGCATGGTTTGTGATCAGTAGGGACAAAATAACTCAGGGATGCAACTAGAGAGCCTACTATACCACCAATGAAGGAATGTACATCTCCATATTATTAGAATAAACAACAAAGTTGGAAGAGTCATTCCTAATCAAGGTTGAGGAAATAACCTAGAAATGCAAGTAGTGAGTGTCATGTTCCAATGAAGGGTTGTCTACTAGCATGTGTTATTGTAATAAAATTTTAAACAGACACAGGCATTCCCTTCAACAGGTATCAGGATTAAAAAAAAAGTGGTAGCAAGTTATTCGAGTAAATGAAAGCTATCACTTTGTTAGTACCCTAATTAAATACCTAATTTTATTTTTCATACTTATGCTTTGGCTTGAAGGAAGAGGGGCATGGGAGGTGGCGAAGATAACAACAAATCTCAATGTTAAAATTCTCACCCTGTCTCTTTGAAAAAATGATTCAGCTCATCCCACCTTTTCATGTGTAAACATCCCTTTGAAAATCCAAACAATCCACCATTCATCTTTTGAAATGGATGACAAGGAGACTTCAAATCTCCTACCTCATACAGCACCTGGTCTTGCAAAGAACCTCCAAGTCTTATCCTCAAAGGCTTGAGGGCTATCAGGCAACCATTATGAAAAGAAAAACATCATGCTTAACGTAACTATTCCAAAGATAATGATGATATTCATAAAATACATTGTAACTTTATGCAGCCACAAAACAATAGAATGTCATCAGAATAACTGATTTTCTATATCATATAGAGTTCGTAATACAAATATACAGACCTTGGATTGCCTTGGAAAGGAATGGATGAGTCAAGTCCTGAAAAACCAATCCACATTGAATTGTAAAATGACTAAAACTGCTTGACTGCTTCCATAGTTTTAAATGGGGGATCGGGAGTGTCCATTTCATTTTCTATACAAATGAATTCCAAAATACTCACCAAATTTACAACAGATGAATATCCCCAGGGGCAATGGTTGTAGTCACACTTATCATGAGGCCACCAATCAATAGTAGCACAAATAAAGTTAAAACCTGTTTCAGCTTTTGCTTGAGCTCCATCTACTAGAAGAGAACCATGTGCAATATCTTGACTTAAAGTTGCTTGAAGAGAAGCCAAAAAGAGAAACAATGCAAGGTGGATTCCCATCAGTGCATCAATTGCAGCAGCATCCAAGTCCAACACAACTAGTCCAAATTATCTGCAGTAAAAGACAAAAGCTAATTCACAGACAGATCTTCTGAAGCTACAAAATTGCAATTTTCTTTTCTCTGACAGTATGAAGATATTAAATTAAGTTTTTAAAGTAATAATACTACCTAATGATTAGTACATGATTAAACTGGAAACCGGAAACAAGAAAATAAAAAGATTAAAAGGATGATGAATATTATGATTGCCTAATTTTCCTGAAATGGAAAATTATAATACTCATTCTTACAAAAAAAGAAGAAAAATAAAAGAATGAATATTATGATTGTCCAAATTGAAAATCTTATATTATAAGTTGGTACTATTAGATAATAACGTTGAAGAGCAACAGTGGTGTTTTACAATGGTGTGTCCTTATCATGATCAATAAATTTATTGCATAATGACAGTATCCCAAAAAACAACCCGATTGCACGAAAAGACAACAATAAAATTGAGGGCTGCGTCTTAAAAGTTTGAGCATTACAGTAGTAAATTTCAAAGTCAGAATTTTTAATATGTACACAATCACATGTTTATTAAATAAATCCATTAAAAAATTAGAATAATAATAACAAAACTGATAAGGTTGAATTCAAACTATCTCAAAAAACCAGATTCATTTTATATTATAAAAAGCCTCCGGAGAGTTATATATATATATATATAATGAAAGATTTCAATGATACATGATCTAAGAATTCATGAGTAGATCATAAGTATCAAATAAATAGGAATAAAGCAAAGTGGGTTTTGACCTGCTATCACTCCTTCATACAAAATATAGCTGTATGGGCTTAAAATGAATCAAAAGAAGAACCCATGAGACAAAAAATGAAGAACAAGAAGAGCACGGGAAAGAGAAAGGACCAAACTTTAGTGAGAGTACCCAGAGAGATAAAGAAATAAATGGTGAGAATTACAGGTAACGAACCTCAAGGAGCGTTGTTTGAGTCCTCCATCATCATCGTCGTCATCATCACCATTAATGACCAACAGTGATGATGGTTCAATAATGGCGGTGCTGCTTATGCTACTGCTGATAAAGGTGCTTTTCTTTTCTCTGGCTCTTTGTGTCTGTAATACACACTCACGGGTTTCTTGTAATAATTGAATAAAATAAAATCATGGCTTATTGTAACTGAAAATTAAAAGGATAATCTATATTTTTCACACCACTTTATGAGATTGCTGAATCATTCCCACAGAAAAAAAAAAAAAAAAAACACGAAGCTGAATATAAGTATGTGATAAAAACAAGTAAGTTATATGTTATTTTTACATCAATATAGAATTTTTATATCAAATTCTGGTTAATAATAAATTATAGTCTCAAAATTAAAAGTATAATTTATGGCTCTAATGTTTCTAAAGTGAATGTAATTAAGTTATCTACATTCGCTTCCAAAACGATGTCGTTTTGTATTGAAAAATTAAAAAATTATAATGAAAAAGACTATTATAACCTTGAGATAAATTATAACTACAAAAATACCTTGATTTCCGTCTCAAAACGACGTCGTTTTGGGCTCACTGTAGATAAGTTATCTATATTGACCCATAAAAAAGTGAATCCATAATTTATTGATATAAAATTATCCTGATCCATTATTTTATTATTATTAAATCAAAAATTAAATCAATCATTATATTTGATACTTTTTTGTAATTATTAGTTTAATTTTGATTAACCATAAAGATTATAATTATAACTTATAAGACTAAATATAAATTAATTTGATAATAATTATATAAATATAAAATAATTGGAAAATGTGAATTGACTATTGAGTACTCTTAAAATTGAAATGAGTTGGATTCGGACAGGGCTTTCTCTCTCATCTGTCTCGTGTGTCGGTTGGCTTTCTAGGTTTAAGGTTCCAAGATTGACGCGCAACAAAATTTAGGTGAGGGAGGACAGGTCATACCTAAAATTTACTAAGTGTGTGGGTAAGTACTAAATATCATTTTGGGAAATGAAAAAGGGAAGCAAGCAAGCAAGCAACTGTTAATTTATGGTGTGTTTCTTTTCTTTTTTTTACCATGTTTATTTTCAGTTCTTAATTGGACTAGTTGTGCCAAAAATTAAAAAAAAAATATTTTTCATGTTATAAGGGATAATTTTATTTTTTATTTACATAAAAGTGTGTGAGGTCCATATAGAGTCATAAGAAAAGAAAAGAGAAAAGAAATATGGATCCCACGTACTTTTATATATGTGTAGGAAATAAAATTATTTTCTACAACATGAAAAATATTAATTACAAATTAAAATGCATAAAATTAGGTTGCTTTCAGCGAGCGCATGAACAATTTAGACATTCTATTTCTTAGGGTAAATAATTAAAGTAATACGATTTTTTTCAAAACATTTATTAAAATAATATAATTTAAAAATTATTTATCAAAATAATATATGGGAATTTATGCTTATGATTTATTAATATTAATAATGGTAATAAAAATTATTATTATATAATCAGAACTAATATAATAATACAAGGGAATTTATGCTTATGATTTATTTTTATTTATAATCTCTTACAATTATTTTTGTTATAATAGAGGCTTGAGAATATTTTATCCTTCTTTACCGGAAACTCATTGATCAAATATTGACTTGAGTGTAGAAATATTTTGCAGGTAGCCCATACATTTTAGCACCAGTTCATCCAACATCCATTCCCAAAAAAACTCAATCAAATTGCTATTAGATCAGAGTCAACCATATGTGTTTAGCGGTTTAGCCCCATATCTCTTAGACGTTAACGGTAACAAAAATGGTACCAACCAATTTGATTTTGATTAATAATAATAAAATGGTTGTAGAAATTATAAGGAAAAAGAAATTTCAAGTATATATTTGCTCTAAATATTAAGGAATAATTGATATCTTACCTCAAGGAGAAGGTATAAAATAATAAATGGAGAAAATTATATTTATTTAAAGTCTGCACAAAAGAATTGTGTATGTAATATCACAGTAGTTAATATGATACATTATTTGTGAAAACATAACGAACAGTGTATTTGGCATGATTGTAAATGAACTGGTTTTTGAAAAGAGAAAATGTCTTATTTCTAGAGATATATTGTTTTGTCTTAAAAAAGATTAATTTCATACTTACACAGTGAGAAGATATTCTAAACACTCAAATTGTTATGTAGCCAGAAAAAAAAACTGACAAAATTAAGTTAGAACTTATAATATTAACGTTGTTTAATAAGTCAAAGTAATAACAATATCTGTATATTGTGATAAAAATATTTTACCAATTGTCAATGTTTTCTTATTTATAAAAGTATTGCTAAGAAATGAATGGTGATTAAAAAATATTTATTACTGTTCATTAAATTTCCTAATTTATTAAAAAAAAATATTTAAATAGTTTTTGAATTCTCAATATATTAAATATTAAATATTTTTTTAATTCCTTACATTAAGAAAACTCGTTAGCCAATCTTGCTTTACTAAGGGTGTGTTTGGTACAGGAGAAATTTTTTGGTGACCGGGAATCATGATTAATGAGAATTCAGTAGAAATTGAGTTTACTTGGAATCTTACGAAAGATGTGTTTGGTTCGCCAAAATATTACCGGGAATACTGGGTAAAAATTACTGATTCCATATTTGGTTTAGAACGAAATATGACTTGGAATATGAGGTTATTTTACAAAAATAACCCCAAACTATTTTTACTTTTGTAATTGATAGATTGGGTCTAGATTTTTATGTGTATTGGGGTATTTTTGTCTCAAAATTTATTGTTGTGCTTTTCCTTTACTTGGTATTCTGATTAGTATTCCAAATTACCATATTATTTTTGGTAATCTGAATAGTGACTTTTCTTTATAAATCAAATTACCGGTAATCCTTGGATATCCGGGAATCATAATTTATTCCTTCTACCAAACGTGGTAATTACATTTACCAAAGAAGGATTACCGGTAATCCTCTCCAAAAACTTGAACCAAACACCCCACGAACCATATTCCGTGGAATAAGGGTCGGTTTTCTTGTTTGCTTTTTGATGCCTCCCTTTGGGGCTTCTTCTGTAAGTAAAGTTTATTTTGGGTCTCTAATTCTCATTTTTGTTTTTTAAAAAAAGTTAATTTATGATTCTTTTACAATTTCAATTTTTTGAAATTATGATTCTTTATAAATTCAATGAAGATTCAATTTAATCTTTAAAAAATGACTAATATGATTTTTTTTTTACAAGAGACGAAAATAGAAATTATATTTTTTTGTTAAGGATGCAAAAGTACTTTCCTCTAATATCAAATTGACTCAAATTTTACAAGGACTTATACAGTTTAATAGTAGATATTCAGCTCAGGAAAAAACACCCATTACCTCAAAAAAAAAAAAAAAAAACACCCATTACCAAATATTCACGTCATATTATCCTCAGATTCTTCATAGCTACAATCATTGCTTTTCTATGTGGTTGTTTTACTGGGTCAAAAGACAGTATTAGTTAGCGCGGAAGTAAATAGAAGCGTGAAGTTGTGAAATCGAGTTGATAAATCTTGAGCTTGGAAGTCAGCACTTATCAGTTATCACGTTGGCGAAGGAAAAATTTAATATGGTCTGGAATTTTGTAGTCCCTCCAATAACAATATGACACTTGTATTAAATTTTTATTTTTATTTTTTTTCTTTTCTCTCTCCCCAACTTTTTCTTTCTATCTCTCTTCAGTCTCACCCAACCAAAACTGGTCCGAGAGCACTAAATTTCCGCTCCTCGGCGAAATAACAGGAAATGAGCAGAAGATGGAGAAATGTTGAGAGGTTTTTGAGATAGATAACCCCATCAATAGTGATAAGTAAAAATCACACGAAGTAGTCCAAAAATTCTAACACTTTCCCTAGTAGTTCTATACAGTGGTGAACGCAGAAATTTTAATAAAAGAAGGCGAAAATAAAAAATACTATATTATAAATAAAAATACTTAAAATACAATACAAATTTAATATACAAACAATTGAAAGAAATTTGTTACAGAAATTAATATCATTTCACTTGACTCTTACTCTACGTGTTTTCATATTGTTAAATTCATCTATAATTGAACCCGTGCTAAAACTCAACAATTTCTTTTTCAATGTATGTAATCAAAGAATCATCAAGAAATTGGTCTTACATTCTATTTCGAAACCTGATCTTGATTATCTTCATAGCTGAGAAAGATCTTTCAGTAGTTGCTGTAAGAACTGGAAGAGTGAGTACAAGTCTAATCACTCTATCAATAAGAGGATAAATGATAGACTTTCCAATTCTTGCTAGCCCTTGACATAATTTATATATATATATATATATATATATATATATATATATATATATATATATATATATAGGTAGATCCTTTGACACCGGTGTCAAATTTCAAATTTGACACCTCATCTGATAGCCGTTAGATCAAAAAAGATCAATGGTGTCACATGCTTACAAATCAGAGTCGTTGATCTGTTTTGATCTAACGGCTCTCAGATGAGGTGTCAAATTTGAAATTTGACACTGGTGTCAAAGGATCCTACCTATATATATATATATATATATATATATATATATATATATATATATATATATATATATATATATATATATATATATATATATAAGTCTAACCATTGTATATGAGACTATGAGTTAATACTAAGAGTTACCACTGTATATGAGACTATGAGTTAATACTAAGAGTTAGACTTATGAACACATTCCTTACAATACCTCTACCCAGAAAAAAAAAACATTATATTTTTTCCACGGTTTCAAGTTTCAACCCATCTAAAAGTTAGTCTATGACTATACATGCAATGATCTTAGGAAGGTGGAAGTTGATTTTAACTGGCTCTAGAATTTACACAGCCAGAATCGAAAGGATGAAGAAGGAGGTTGGTGATGGACGGAACACGGAAAGGAGGGAGAGGATGTTCTGATGCTCTCAAAGAAAAATATAGGTAAGAGTGTGGGCAGAAGCATGGGGAACCGAAGGAAAAACGTGTACAACACGGTAGTTTTATCATCACATTTTTTTACATATATTATAAAAAGAAATTAGAGGGGGCGGGGGC